AGTTGAGCTCGCCCAGATACGGACAAAATCTAGTTTACCTAACAGACTGCGCACATTCAAGTGGATGAAACCCAACCCAGACCTAGCTATAAAATCAGCAGGAGTAGCGATCTGACTACTACTACTGGGCGGACCAGGGTTAGGTTGTACATTTCCTGACAGTAATAACAACACAAAAAACAGGCATCTTTTCCTCTTAAACGACACACATACATTGTCATCTAATTTAGAAACACCGGAAAAGTCTGCGAGAGTGTGATTTGAGCTTAAGAAGCAGTCCTGAAGAACCATCATCGCAGGAAAACAAAAAAGACAAACATATTTTGTCGAGCAGATTGTCTGTGACAAGGCAACCGGTAATTGTTTGAGCAACACATCCGAACCTTTGCAGGGGATGCCCACTGCGGGTGGCAGAACAGACCTGAATCCAGTAGACTTCTCAGAATGACTAGAGATCTTCTAATACTCCAAAACAGTTAACAGGCACAGCAGAATCCCGATATGGGCCATTTCCCCAGACCAGCACACAGTATCCGCGATGTTCCTGGAGCAAAATCAGCACAGCAACAAAGGACAGGCGAAAACAGCAGCGTGGAAGCGCTCCGGTCCCTCTGTGGTATCCCCGGGGTGAAAGCAGGCCTCTGCAACAGCAGAACCAGGACAGGTGGAAAGCAGGCCCCAGCGGTGGTAAAATCCTCCTCCGTACAGCAACACACGCCCGGTGGAAGCAGGCCAAGCCCGAAGCGTGGATCCACTCCGTCTCTCCGCGACGACTCCGGGGTAAAAACCAGCCGTATTCTACAGGTGGGAGCAGGCCTCCGTAGATCGCAGATCGCAGAATCGCAGGCAGCAACAGGTGGAGCCTCTCCGTCTCTTCGCGACGAGCAGGCCTCCGTAAATCGCAGATCGCATGCAGCAACAGGTGGAGCCGCTCCGTCTCCGGAAGAAAAACACCTCAGTACAGCCGTACTCGACAGGTGGGAGTAGGCCTCGGCAGATCGCAGACAACTAAAACTACTACTTGTATAAGCAGGGATGGCTAAAAGTTTGTAAGCAGGAGAGCTAGATGCTAACAGATGCCAGATGCTAACAGGTAGTGCGAGCCTGTAGAAGTTGAGACTGCCTCCAATGACAGCGTAGGATCGACTGATCAATGTGTTTGTTAATATTCACTACCTTTAAGGTAGGATGGCAGAATACACTACACTACCCAGAATCCCCAGCCATCGTTTAGGACTACACCATGTGCTCTGTTTGACAAGCCCCGTGATTATTTCTCAAGCTCTGTGATTGGTTGACCTCCAACTGCAATTCCATTCATTCCAATGGCTGGCGTCTATGTCACGTGATCGTCCAGGAGCGACGTTTGGTCAGGGTCCCGTGGCGTGCAGTTGTGACGCTCCTAGGCTCCTTCAGCTTCATAAAGGGACGAAAATAGCTTTCAACTGATTGCAATGTATTCCCATCTGCGGCGGGATTTGACGCTCATGGAACCACGGCATTCGTTTGTGTCGGCTGCCCTTAAAGGCAATGTGAGCGTCCATTCCCATTGGATAACGGAGAATTGTACACCCGGAAGTAAGTATTCCCCTTACTGTCGATTGATTTTACAGTGATATCTGCACTACTCATCGACTAAAAAAGACCAGATTATCCTCGTTAATTATCCTTGTGTGCAATGCTTTTGTATTTTTCCCCTTCGATTCAGAGAAACAAATATTTGTTCGGAGTAAAGGATGGCAGAAGACACTACACTACCCAGAATCCCCAGCTATCGTTTAGGACTACACCATGTGCTCTGTTTGACAAACCCCGTGATTAGTTCTCAAGCTCTGTGATTGGTTGACCTCCAACTGCATTCCATATGAAAAAAAACATTTCGTAAAAGATAAAATCATACTTTATTCAGCAGTGCTTGCTTTACTCTTTGAAAGTCATCACATGAATACATTGTAATAAATGGTTCGGCTGCATTAAATATATTACACATCTGTCGTAGTTCTTTATTTTTATTTATCTAGATCGGGCTCAGAATAGACCGGAAACTATTATTTGACTGTTCAGTTTGAATTTCACAATGTAGTTGATGTAGGTTTCACCCCCCACTCCCGCAATCTCGATAGAATATCTCCATCACCGATATACACCGGAAGGTGCAGAAAATAAACAGTCACCTCATTGTCTCTTAGCTCTTGTGCTCTCACCCTTACGGCCCGTCCACACTACAGCGTCGACAGCTTCAATCTGCCCATTCACTTTGAATGGGGTGACGTCACGTTGCCGCTTTTTTTCGCCGAACTGAATTGTGGGTAGCATAGCGGTCCGGAGACGCCGTAGTAGCCAGCGCCAGCCAATCAAATCCCGTTTCGGAAAATCTGACAGCTCAAGCCGTAGCCAATCAAACCGCGTCTAAGCTGGGAGAGATATCCCGCCGTTCATTTCTATATTTCAAAAAAAGATGGAGGAGAAACTAATTATCGCCGTAGCAAATCACCCGGTTTTGTATGACCAGACCCTCTTCACCTACCGGGATACAAACCGGAAGAACCAGTCATGGAGGGAGGTGGCAGAGACAGTGGGTGAAACTGGTAGGTTTTCGCCTGTTTGGGGAGTTTATATATATATTGCTCCCATAAAATTCCCGGGGGTTTTTGCTTTGTATGTCGGGGGCGGGAGATTCATGTGATTGGTTGTTGGTCGCGTTGCTTGAATAACATCCCCAAGCTTCAGACACGCCCAGCTCCAAGCTTTTTTTGAAGCTGTAGTGTGGACGCTCTGTTACTCCATTTATTGTGCACCCCGCCAACAACCTCTGCTTCCCTACTAGCGTTTTCATTGTCACTTCGTATCTCCCCTCCCCTCTCACCCTGCACCCTAGTATTACCCCGCACAAGTTTCTTATTGCTTTAAGCAAGTCCATCATCGATACCTCTCCTCTTCGCCCCTCTACGTACACACTCAACGTCAGTTCTGCAGAGTAGTTCACCTGCTCCTCCGCATTTTCTTCCTTTTCCTCGTCGCTCACTTCCTCTTTTTCTCCTCCCTTTTCGCTCCTATTCCCATCTTCACTTGTTCTTCTGCTGTTTCCCCCGTTCACTCCGTCGTTTGGACCATTCTTTCCCCCAGAATCTCCATTCTCCTCCGCTCCCTCTCCTCCACCTCCGCCTCGCGGGACCTCCATCATTTTCGCGGCCGTCACTCCTGTCTTCACTCCAGCCCAGGGGTGGACTGGGACAACAATTCAGCCCTGGCATTTTCTGTCCAGACCAGACCACTACATTATCAGCGGACACTACTTAAAAGTCCACTAATCTCGCGGCATCTTCTCTCATGCATACTACAAAGGTGAGTCATATTCCTTGATAGCAGTTAACAAATAAAGCACTTAACTATGAACTCAAGGACTAAAATTGACAGCTATAGCAATCAATCAATCAATCTTTATTCATTATAGTCAGGCCCGCCTTAACCTGCCATCAGGCCCTGGGGCTGATAGGTTTTGTAGGCCCCCTATTTAAACAACAAATCAAAGTCATTTATAGCCTCGGCAGGCTCTGTGATCGCACTTCTCCACTCTGCTCTATACGCGCCTGGTCCTCTCCTCCGGATGAGTGACGTATTGTGCCTCCCTCGTGTATTTGTCCGGTTGCCGTTGGCTCCCCTCCACGTAGCAAGTCCTCGTCGTCCTCTCCATCTCCTCCAACATCCCTCCTGTCTGTTTTTCCTCTCCCGCTACTCCATCACTATCAGAACCAGACGGCCTACTTGGCTCCGAGGCCCCGCGGCCGGCACCGCTAACGCTCGTACAGAACTCATCTGTCCTTCCTCCTCATCCTGGCCTACAGGTTTAAAATAATCTGTAAACTTTGGCATTTTTTGTAATAGCTTGTCTCGAAACTCCTTTTCCCTCAACAATTTCCTTTCCCGAGCGCCACTCTCAAACTTTTTCTTCTCCTACATTTTCTCCTAAACAACCTTCATCTGTCACTCAATCGCTCACAATTTGAATAAGTCACATGTGAAACATATTCTCATTCTGATTGGCTGTGAAGTGGTGCTGACTGTTTCGGAGTCATCATTTTTGAGAAAAATCTCTGGAATACATCGATCTGAGCGGAGCAAATGATCAAAATACTACGGAGGGAATATATTTTCGTTTGGATTACTGGTCTGGGGGAAGCTCGCAAGCGTGTGTGTGTCGCGAGTGTGTGTGTGTATACGTGTGTGTGTTTGTGTATTTTTGCGTTTGTGTGTATTGTGTTTGTTTCCCGGGGAAAACCCTCAGGAGAAACACCGGCTGTTGTTATGCCTGTTGTGACGTCAAGTTACTCCGTTCTCCGCTTGTAATTATGCCGTTACAAGCTTCAAAGTTGTATTTATCATCTGAATTTGCCGAAACAAGTTTAATATTCTGAAAGCCAAGACTTTGTTTATTTGAAACCAGATGAAAACAAACTGTAACGGACGGAAAATGTATTTGTCGTGTGATTTTGGAAATGAAAGTTTCATATTCTGAAAGCCAAGACTTTGTTTTTTAAATGTTTTTTAAAAACATCCGAAATAAAAAACTTTTTTAAAAAACTTTTTTATTGGCTCATGATAGGCCCCTGATCTCCGTAGGCCCCTGGGCTTCAGCCCAGGTCAGCCCGTGCATTAAGGCGGCCCTGATTATAGTGTCAAATCACAACAGAAGTTATGTCATCACTAGGGGTGGGACCATAGACTGTATATATAAAGGGTGGGACGAGACTAACGGGAAGAACCCTTATGCTACCCTTTCAGTTTTTAGTCTGTGACTGTGAAAATCTTTTGGTGTAAACCCAGTATTACAGTAGTTAAAACCAGACTTGGATAATAATAACAAAAAAATATCCTGACAAATAATCTAAATAGAAACATATTACAGACAGTAGCAGCATTAGAGCTGAAACTCACTCACTCAACGGTGACTCAGTCATTATGAAACCATAAATAGAGAATTGGAGAAAAAAAAAAAATATATATATATATAGCTGTGTACAGGTAGGGTTACAGGTCTGAATAGATATGCATTCTCATATACGTGTATGTGCACAAGTATGTATTGCTCTACTTCCTCGTCCGCAGCCAGCCAGCTCCACTCCTCACCAAATTCGTGACCTGCAAGAAACAGCAAACATAACTTGTACTCAGTATCTGTGTACTGACAAGTATATGTAGCCATGTAGCCTTTTTGTGACGTATTGACACTTAGTGAACAAATGTATCTGTCATGAAGGATGACTTAAGTCTCAAAAGAGCCCTAAGGCCTACCTGCATAACTGTTAATTGAACTTAAAAGATATGCAGATGTTTGAAATTAAAACCATCAATATGAAAATCTTCAGCCAGGAAATAATCATAATCAAACCTTTTGTTTCAATCTGAGACAAAACAAGTTGCATAATAAACTCACAAAGTCAAGACGAAGCTCTCAGATATGATGGATGCCTCAAGCATCATAGAAGAACTTCTAGCAGGTCAGGAAAACCTGTTTGACAGGAGATAATGGTAGCAGAGAATATAAAGAGACATTTATGAATTACCAATTGTCATTTTATCACACATATAGTATGTTTCTTCACATAAACCTTTAAACATACACATATTGCATTCCTCTCACCACATGAAATAAGCCCAGGAACCCAAAAGTCGCCCAGTGAATGATGGAGGAGACAAAGCAGGTCCTCAAAAGGGGTCAGAGGGAAAATAACTCCTTAGGCTCTCATATATAGGGTGGTCAACCTAAAAGAGACATGGAAACATTATCAAGTCTCTCATCATCACAAATCAAGTATGAATTCATATAAGACACCTGACATACTCAACAAATCATAGACTTCTCAGTAGCCAAAAAGTGGTGAAGTAGAGGCAGTAAGGGAGCAAATCCTTGAAAATGGACAGAGGGGGAACAACTCCTCAAGCTCTCACATGTCAAGTGGTCAACCTGAGATGGAATTGGATACATTATTAAGTCTCTAATCATCACAAATTAAGTATGATTTCATAAAACATAAAAAATGATAAACTCACCATACTAGAGGAGATTCAACAGCCAAACGTTGGTGCAGTGAAGGCAGAGAGTGGAGGCAGAGAGAGAGCAAGTCCTCGAACATGGACGGAGGGGGAACAACTCCTCAAGCTCTCACATGTCAAGTGGTCAACCTGAGAGGGAATTGGATACATTATTAAGTCTGAAAAATAAATTAAATGTTTTCCTCTGTCCTGCACCTAGAGTTGAAAACTTTTGGGATGTGCGTTTCTTTCAAAACTTTTTTAAAATTATGAAGTATGAATTTATAAAACATTAAAAAATACATGATAAACTTACCAAATTCTAACAGTGGTCCAAATGAGAGAACAAGTCCACATATAGAACAGAGGGAGAACGACTCCTCAAATATATCAGAACAACCTGTAATGGAGAATAATTGATCATTTAGTGTACATGATCACACCATTAAGGATAAACACATGAGCACAATAACACTTCTGAAAAGCATCATTAAAATGACAAATAATGAATTACTACATCCATAATGTGTGATGTGTGATAATAACAATAATATTAAATATTTCTCGCCTTATCAGTGGAGCAGCTTTTTAAGCAGCTCACTCTTCTCTGCAAGTCTGTCTATCACAGAGTCCAAGGCCATGAGGATGTCTTTCTCTGTGGCCATCAACATAAATGCCTCCAATTGATCAGATGAGAGGGTGCTTCTGAGTCTGTTTTTAATAAACTTCAAAATTGAAAATGTGCGCTCACAAGCCACCTGTGTGAGGGATAATGTAAGCAGGTATTTATAAGCAAGGCCTAGGACAGGGTATGCATCTGTTAGCATGTTGAAACGGCGAAGTATCTGGTAGCAGCACAGAGGGCATTCTTTGCAGGAGCAACAGCTTATGGGAGTTATCTCAACCTCTTCTGTGTTGTCCTCCTCCTCACCACCTGATCCATCTTCTACTGTTCTTGCTTTGTACTCTGCCAATGGGGATGCCTTCAGCCTGTTCCACTGGAGTGCAAAGCTTTTCAACTCGCCCTGCATATTTTCCTTGGTTGCCCTACTGTCAAATCCTTGCAAGCACTTGCTTAAGTCTTGAAGGGCAGACTGGGGAAGAGCACTGGTGCAGAGCTGAGGGAAGAGCACTGGGATCCAGACATGCCAAGTCAGCATACAGATTGCCGTGTGTTAAAAAGCACCTATGGATGGCTTCAATTGCTGTGTCCATGATCCGGTTATGCACATTCACCTCATAGGATTGTTCTGCATCATCCAGGGTCTCATCCTGAGCCATCTCTCCAGGCAAGACTTTCTTCATCCTCCTCCTCTTTTGTGGCAGTGTGGCCTCCACTTCAATGTCCGTGTCATCTCTCTCTTGGATTTCTGTGTTTGTCCAGTTGACAAATGTGTCCGCTGCTTTTTTTACAGATTCAAAATCTCTTCCCAAGCTTTTCAGCGTATCCTGTGTCGAGGCCACCATTCTGTGAGCAGAGAGGATGTCCAATCCTGCCGTCTTAAGGTATTTAGACAATGGAGAGGTATGTTCAAATATGCGGAAGAAGATTTGAGCCGTCAAGATCGTCTCATACTTGAGCAATGACTCTGCATATCCTCTGGCCATGACACGGATACATGGTTTCACTGTTGCCTGTTTCTGTATAGCTGATAATGTCAGCAGCACATCAACGTACAGACCATCTTCGGGTTTTCCAAAGGAGCCAAACACCTTCTTCAGGGCCTCATGCTTGGCCCACCAGCGTGTCTCTTCTTCAGGGCCTCATTCAGAATTATTAGGGAGGTTTAGTAGTAGGCATGGTTAACAAAACTGTGAGTTTGTGTCTTAAGGGGTGTCACGGCTGCTGCTGCTGCTGTCTGCTCGTTAACCTGTCTGGGATTGATTTCAGCTGTGTATGTTATATGTATATGAGATGCGCCGTTGCCCGGACGCCATTGGATGCCAGTTTCCTGTCCCTCCTCCGGTAGGCGTGACCGAAGATCTGGATTGGAGCAGGTCGGGCCCGACTCACCAATCCCTGCCCACACCTTCCGGGGACTCTTACAAGAGTGTGTGCATCTCAGTTAGACGGGAGAGGTCTGAATCTGTGTCAGATGTCTCTCGGTGCTCTCCTTATGTTCTGTGTAGCTCTGTGCTAGTTCTGATACAGTGGTTAGTTAGGGTGTGTGATTAAGTGTGTATTCTGTGATTTGTGACGGCGTCGAACTTGTGCGAGACGCCTCACTATTTTAGCCTTAAGTGCCCATAGTGTGCTATGACTGTGATAATCTGTGACCTTTGTTTTGTGTAGCGTTATTGTGAACAGATAGCTGGTTTTAAGAGCCTGTATTTTTGGTTATATCATCTTTATTTTGAGTTTATTATTAAAATCAACCTCTTACCAAGAACACCTGGTTTCGTGTTGCTTCCCTTTTACCCTAAGCGAGCTGGGGACGTAACAATTGACAATGACAAACAATAGACCAATAATATGTGTTGATGCTTGCAACACCTTGCTAGCCCTCTGTAGCCAATTGGCCGGCCCAATTGGAGGGAATTTAGAGAAAAAAAAGAAAAGAAAAAAAAAACATAGCGAACGGCCCACATTGGGTCAACGGCCCACCGGGACGATGCCCGGTATACCAGATGGCCAGTCCACCGCTGCTCCAGCCTGCCCTCTTTCCAGAGATGCAGCCCGACAGCCTCTCCAGCCTCTGTGTCCTTCGCTGCTTTCTCTCCTTCGCCCTCACGTCTTTTCGTCTTGTTCTTCTTCGCCGCCATGTCTCCCGCTCCACTCCCGCATTCTTTGTCTCAGCTTCCTGCATTCCTGAATGCACGTCAATTTCCTTCATTATTTCACCTCTTTCAGCCATCACGAACACTCAGATAGGGCCCTCCCCGACAGCAAAGCTGTTAGGGGGGGGGAGGATCGTACAAACAGCTTGTTTGTATTCAAAATATCGTTTTTTCCACTTTTCCGTACCATGTCATAACACAAGACGAACCGACAAAGACAGACAGAAAAAACAGAACTTAAATACACACAAGACTAATCATACAAACAAGACACAGGTGAGGAGGGGAGGAAAAAACACAGGAACACAATCGGGTAATAAGACACACCAGGGAAACTAACGACAGGGAACCACAGACAGATGATCTAAACAAGACAAAACACAACGCAGACAGAAAACCAAAGACAGATCTAGACAAAACACAACGCAGACAGAAAACCAAAAACAGATCTAGACAAGACAACACAGACAGAAACAGGCAAGACGGGAGGTGAAGACCTTTCAAAATAAAACATGAAACAAAAGACAGAAAAAGACAAGACAAAATACAATAAAGACAGATCGTGACAATTGTATAGTTTTGCTATTTAACATCAGGTTAGGATAAGCTGAGCAAGTCATGCACGTGTATTTCCTGGTTTGAGATTGACTTCCTTCCTAATGCGGAACTTCCTGTGTCAGTAGGTAAAGCCCCTGTCACACTGTCCCGAAATTGACACCCGGTGGACACACGATAAAGAAAATGTTCAAATTCGGCTGTGATCGTAGCAACATCGGGCCATTCGTGAGGGCATCTTAAGCCATCGTATGACCGCCGGTGGAGTTTCTCAGGCTCCGGCAGCAACTTTGTGAGCGGCAACTTCGTAAGGCACTCGTGAGGGCATCTTGTCAAGTCGTGTCATCTTCGTGTTATCATCGGTGCATTCGCCCTCACGCCCGATGGCACTGATGATAACAAGATGCCCTAACGATGGCCTTACGAAGGGCAAAATTGACACACGAATTCAACACGAAAATGAACCTTCGCAAGGTCCTTCGGCTATTTTTTGGCATGCCAAAGATTTTGCCATGCACTGCTCACGAAGTTGCTACGAAGGCTTAAGATGCCCTCACGAATGGCCCGATGTTGCTACGATCAGAGCCGAATTTGAACATTTCCTTTATCGTGTGTCCATCTGGTTGTTTTATTGCACAACAAAATCATGTAAACATATTATGTAAATAACCCAATTTGTGTTCTGTGAAACTGAAAAGGATATAATATATTATTTTGAAGGCGAGTTGACAGGAAGTTGTTGTTGCTATGAAAACAACAACATGACAGAGAAAACGTAATATCTTCTACATATAAAGACGGAGAAAGTAAAGAACAAAGTCTGAAAATATCAGTACAGTATCATAGTACTTTAACATAATTGTTTGTGTTACTTTCGTTGCAGTTGTATGTCTTAAATGTAATGTACATTTTGCCTTCGTGTGTGGTTCGGGGCCATCTTCGTGCGAAATTCACAATTCAATATTCGTGTGTCCATCGGGTGTACATTTCGGGACAGTGTGACAAGGGCTTTATGGATACCAAAACAGATGAGGCAAAATACATGCGAGTGTCAAGTGTATACATGTGTGAAAGTGACAATGTATGTATGTATGTGAGAATATGAAATATGTTTATACATGTGAGAATATAAATATATTGGGGCTGTCAGTCGATTAAAATATTTAATCGCGATTAATCGCATGATTGTCCATAGTTATTTGCACGTTTTTTTATCTGTTCTAAATGTACCTTAGAGGAATATTTTTCAAGTTTTTACACACACACACACACTTTGTATTGTATTATTGTATGAGAGAGGTTCCAGGTTGAATTGAGGCGAATATTTGTAATGTT